TTCTGTCACTTAACCACATGAAAACAAAATTGATTGCTTTTCACAAAACGGACGTATCAAAACCATCAGGTCTTACTACTTTGACAGTACATACTTGTGATTCGCGTTCGAATATCTGTAACTGCATCAACATAATTATGTAGAGTAGACGCCATTAAATATCTAGGGGTAATCGTTGATGAAAAACTTAATTTCAAGAAACACCTGTCATGGCTATCTGGTAGGGTTAGAAGAAGTATACACTTCATGAAAGCGCTTCGACACAGCGCAACTAAGGAGACTATGCTTCTGGTATATAAAGCACTTACTCAATCCTTAATTTGCTACTGCTGTCTGGCCTGGGGTGGAGCTAATAAAACAAGCATGATCCTAGTCGAACGATCTCAGCGCGCTGTATTAAAAGTAATGTTTCACAAACCATTTAGGTATCCCACCGATGTTCTTTATAAAGAGTGCAGCTTGTTGAGGGTACGTCAGATCTTTATTGTAAAATCGATACTTGCTATGCATGGGAAAGTGTCTGCATCACCAGAGTATAAAACTCTTTGCCTTAGACGCAACTTTCGGATTCCAATGCCTATCACACATACGTCATTCATCCAACGCCATTCCACATTTCTTCTTCCTTTCATTTACAATAAGATTTGTCGCTTCTTTGTTAATCTTCACCTTCAGTCTATAATTTGTGTCAAAAGGATGGTTTCCTCTTGGCTCATGGATCTGTCATATCAGGAAACAGAGGACATAATCAGGCCTGTAAGTTGACTACTTACTTAACTATGGGCGAGTTGAAAATTATCACAGGCACACACACACCCATGCGCGCATACACATACACACACACACACACATCCACACTCGTACACACACATCCACACTCGCACACACACAGACTCACACTCACATATACACACATAAAGTAATTTATAATTCGAGGATTTTTTATTAAATATATATGTAACTTGTAAAAATTTTCAGTTAAAATGTTTAAAGTTACTTTAATAATTTTTCTATTTTCATATTTTTTGTCTTAATGTTACTCAAACATTTAAGTATTACCGTAACTTCCTCACTCACAATGTTCACCTCCCGAGTTTTGTCAACTTAATGTAATGCGAACCATTCAGAAAAATTGAAATGTTAGGTTTTTGCGTTACGAGCTCAGCTCAGTGCAAAAACCACTGTTTAATTGTAAGCTAGGTTAAAATTTTGTATTGGTGAATAAACAAATTTTGATTTTGATTTGATTTGAATGTTATTGTTGTCTGTATATATAGAATTCCTAAAATGACTAACCTAGATATATTCTATGAAAAGATTTTTTTTTACAAAATCTATGTACTAATATGAGCAGGAAAATCATTTTGTGTGGTGATTTTAATATTGATAGATTAAAATGCAATAAAATGTCGTATGAATTTGAAATTTTTTTACACAGTTTCGGTCTTACTTTGGAAATTAATCAAATAACTAGATTAATGAGCAAAACTTGTTTAGATAATTTTGGACACAACGTGAAAGGAGGCTGCAGAGGTGAGGTACTCGATTTAGGCTTGTCAGATCATACCGCCCAGCTTCTGAAAGTTCCAGTAAAAAAATATTATCCGATAACCTCATGGAAAATTAAACAGCGCGATTATTCTATTGAGAATATCAATAAATTCAAAAAACATATTCAAAGTTTGAAGTTCACAGACATGTATCAGACAAATAACCCAAATATGGCTTATAATTACTTTATTGAACAATTTAAATTATTAAATGACTTTTGCTTTCCTTATAATAAAAAAAACTTTAAATAAAAGGATTAAATGGCTGTCTAGAGGGATAAAACTATGCTGTAAAAAAAGACGAAAACTGTTATGGAATTATCTTTGTTTGCCTTGCCTGCCTAAATTACTCAAGTAAACTTAAAAAAAATATTAGGTTAACACAAAAGGCACAGAATAATCATTTGATAAATATCGCAACAAATAAAACAAAGGCAACATGGAACATTATAAATAGAAACAAAAAACAATACCAAAAAGAACATATTTTACAAATAAGAAAGATGATATAATTATAACTGATCCATCACTGATAGCAAAAAGTTTCAATGACTTTTTAATTGATGAAATAGATGAATCACCTTGCCAAAATAAAAATTATCTAGGTAGTAATAGTAATTCGATGTTTATGACCCCAATTTCCTCAGATATAATACAAAAAATAATAAAATCATTAAAAAATACGTCTAGTGTAGGATATGATGATATTTCTACTAGGGTTATAAAAGATGTAGCGGTGATTATATCCCCTCATTTAGCATACATAATAAACTTATGCATAACAGAAGGAATATTTCCCGATGCGTTAAAATTGGCTATAATAAAACCTTTGCACAAAAAAATGACAAAGAAGACATGAAAAACTATCGCCCCATTGCCCTAGTTCCAGTTATTTCAAAAATCTTTGAAAAAGTTATTTATCAGCAAGTATACGGTTTCTTAGAAAAATTTAATAACTTATGTCAAGAACAAAAGGGTTTTCGACAAAATAAAACCCTGAATATGGCCATTTATGATCTAATTAATATAATTATATCTGAAATGGATAAATCGAATCCTATATGCGCTATATTTACGGCCATGACGAAAGCATTCGATTATGTTAATCATAAAAATCTATTAGAAAAATTAAATAGATATGGTATCAGAGGAAATGCACTAAAACTCATAGAGTCATACCTTTCTAATAGGAAACAGATTACTGAAATAAGTAAAATATGTCAGAAAAAACGCATAGAAGTAAAATATAGGTCCTCTGTCAGGCTCTTAAAATGCGGTGTTCCGCAAGGCAGTGTGCTCGGTCCCTTACTTTTTCTATTGTATATTAATGACATGCCAAAAAGTGTACATAATCCAATGATACTCTTTGCTGACGATAGCACAGCCATAGTAAAATACAATAATACAAAAGATTATAACAAAGATATTAATAATACCTTATATGACATTGTTAAGTGGTTAAATGAAAATAATTTAAAAATAAATTTAAGTAAAACCAAGATTATGCATTTTTTACAAAGAAAAAACAAAAATGACCTAAATAATATTAATGTTACATATAAAAACCAAATTATAGAAGAGACTGAAGTGACGAGGAGCTCGATGGCGCAGAGGAGCTCGATGGCGCAGGTGGCTAGCGCGTTCGGCTGCGATCGTTGAAGTTAAGCAACTTTCGCAGTGGTCGGTCATTGGATGGGTGACCAAAAATTTACTAACTCGAGCTCCTCCGTGCTTCGGAAGGCACGTTAAGCCGTTGGTCCCGGCTGCATTTGCAGTCGTTAGCACCCACCAAACCGCACTGGGCCCGCGTGGTGGGTCATAGCCCAATCTCCCTATTCCATCCATAGGGAAGGCCTGTGCCCCAGCAGTGGGGACATTAATAGGCTGATGATGATGATGATGAAGTGACGAAATTTTTGGGCCTTTTCATTGATAGCAAATTAACATGGAAGAATCAATCAAGGGAATTGTGCAATAATTTGCATAAATCAGCATTTGCTTTATTTCAATTAACAAAAATGGTAAACAGGCATGCAGTTCTATCTGCTTATCATGGATTAGTTGGATCTGTGCTAAGATACGGAGTAATCTTTTGGGGAAATTGCACTGATCGCGTAGACATTTTTAGAACTCAGAAAAGATGCATTAGAGCAATGTGTGGGCTTAATATCAGGGATAGCTGTACGCCTTACTTTAAATCACTCAAAATATTAACAGTACCTTGTATTTACATCTTGGAGATAGCAGCATTCGTGAAAGCAAACAAAAACTTATTTCTAAAGCTAGACTTTCAAACAAACCCCCCGCGGGGTCAATACGTTAATAAGCTAAGACTACCACAATGTAAAACAGCCTTCTTCCAAAAAAGCGTACTGCATCTTTCGCCTCGTATTTACAATAACATTCCTGATTCTTTGAAACAATTAAATTTGACTATTTTTTAAAGAAGACTGCGTAAACTTTTGATTGAGAAATGTTATTATTCCATAAATGAATTTTTAAATGACAATACAATGAAATGAAATGTGATTTTGAATTATTGATTATGGTTACTAATATTATTTAATACCTTTTAAAGCTCTATTTGAATTAATTTAATGTTTTATTATTATTAATTTTATTTTTATTTTTTATTTAATGATTAGTAGTTTAATTATTATTAAGTAACCTATGAACAATTTTCTATTCAATTTGACAATTTATTAAATGTTTGATTTTATCACAATTTTAATCTATTCTAAGTACAATTATTGATATGTGATTATACCTATTTTTTAAGTGTCGTAAAAAAATGCTATTTAATTTGACAATTTACTAAATGTTTGCTTTTATCACAATTTTAATCTTTTTAAGTACAATTACTGATATGTGACAATTTTGGATTTTGTAGATTACAGTACCTACCTAATTTGTTTCAAACCCATATAGGGTAAAATATGAATGGACATTATAATTATGTAACACCAAATTATGTACTCATATTTGAACAAATAAATTGATTGATTGATTGCCATAACAATTGACGTACCGCGTAAGAGCAAGACGTCTAGATTCGCACTCACTAATGAGTGAATGAGATAGAAATATGTTCTTATATTAAAACCATTTTTCCGATAATTGATTTATTCATTAATACTTTTAGAAATAAAGTTGGGTTTAAGCAAATATTTTACTTATTTTCATGCAAATGAAAATTTTCTAACATTAAAGGACTCGAAGGGCAGTTTTGAAATAGGTACCAACATAGAAAAAATCAACGATTTATTTGTTAATTTGGCACAAAATCTAATCTAAAATGTAATCCAACGGGAACGGGGCCAAATGTTTAAATGTTTGGGCATCTTTAAATGTTTTTTTTGTACTCGAAAAATATAAGTCCATAAGAGAAAGGAAAGTGGTTCATTTTGTCTGTGGAATAACTACTTTTCAAATGTGGAAACACTAGTGGCCCGCCACGTTTCGCCAGACTTGTTAGTTGTCCACTCGTCATTAATTTTAACTTCATTCATATCCGTTTATCAGGTTAACAGAGCTACATACTTTAAAAATGAGTGCTCCAGCACCAACCCCTGCCTACAAAATCGGAATAGTGAAGCAGGTAATACATCAATCCATTGTTATTTTAATTCGTAAACATCAGTGCCCATACCTCGTGCCGATTTTATACAATTTGCCCTGTTGGCACCACACCATGCTACGAGTTTACCATAGTAATATGAGAGTAGGCCATTAATAATTCAATTATTACGTTGTACTTGTTTTTCTTCATCATATGAAATATTAAAGTATCATTTTTTGGAATATTGAGACAATATTGGTTTGTAGTTAGGGTCGTGGAAATCAAAGAAAATATTTCTAATCTAACTCTAATTGGAACGTTTAGTGAAATGTAAATCATCAATTTATTAATTAATTTCCTTTTTAGGTGTTGTCTGGAGATACAGTGGTGATAAGGAGACAGCCTCAAGGAGGACCTCCACCAGAGAAAGTGATTGCTCTATCTGGCATCACCGCGCCTAAGCTTGCTCGTCAAAAAACAGTTAACAAGTAAGTAAAAATATATCATGGCTATAGGAATTTGTTACTAAAATGAAAATTTGACTCCTTCAACGAATTTGATAGAGTTCATTCTAATTCATGAAAATAACCTAATAAGCTGTTTATGAGCATATTTTAATGAAAACAGAGTAAAACAAAGTAAAAAACATAGTAAAACATAGTTATTTCCTGTAGACACAGGAAATAACTATGAATAATTTCAAAAAATTAACATTAATCTTTAAGTTATTGTAATAATAAGAATCATTAGTGAATGTTATAAAATGCTGCCTGTAAAGAGAAAGTATGCAATGTGGCTTTGTACACTCTCTGTAAAATATTATGTTTAATTATGGAATCAGCAATTGCGAATTAATTATCTAACCAAATTTTATTCTCTGCATGACATATATTATTATATAACTTTTTTGATAAAACATATATCAATATAATGAAGGTGTTTTTCAGTATTTAGCAACATTAATATGTTTTTATATAGTATTCAAAATATATAATGGTAAATGGTTTTATTATAGTGTATGTCTTATGTTATACTAAATCTGAAAATTAATATTTGTGATCATTAATTTATTGTAGTTCCCTTTTCTTAAGAATGTGTTAATGGAAGAAATATAAATGTTCCACATAAACATACAGAATACCCATGGTATTAAATCTCCAAAACCATAAAGTAGTGCATCCATTTCATATTTGACAATGTTATATTAGCAGCAATACAGACTAGACTCAGCGACATCAAATACTTTTCAAGTTTAATTCAATATTTTGTGTTGGTTTTGTGATAGCAATAGAAAAATACCATGCACTAATTTGACAAGCAAAAAATATTTGCTCTACATGCCACACATTACTGTTTTTTGAACTAAGTGAACTCTCATATCCTTCAAAAAATATCTTCAGTAACTGTAAAATTGTTTAGAATCAGGACTGACCAATATGAAATTGAATCATTTTGCAATATCATTTTAATGTATAATAATCCATTACTAAATATACTTTCGGTCACATCTATCGGCCCACTTAGTGTAATAAATTGCAACAGTCTATTGCGAAAGTATATGTTTATGGTTGAGTAATAATTTTAAAAACATGAAAAGATAGTTATTTAATCAGCTTGTAAATTGTGTAGGTAATAACTTTTTGCTCTATGATATTTATATTTTGCTAGGGACCGTCAAAACTTAAACTGCTCTCCACTCATAAATGTGTCCAGAAGTATATATATAAAAATATTAAGTTAAATTTATGACGTAATCAGAAACAAATCTCATTTTGTAATTCTTGTATTACCTAACCTACTTCTAAATTATTATTGCTGCTAAGCGAGTTTGCAATTAAAATACTGTGCTGACAAAACATTTTTCAATATCAACTAATTTTGTTTACTAACCTAAATCTGGCACAGATTAAGACTACATTCATAAATTACATTTATATCACACAATTTGTGTGAATATTAAATTAATATTAATGTGAATTAAATTATTTTATCCATAGTGATTTGGAGACGAAAGATGAACCCTATGCATGGGAGGCGCGCGAATTTCTTAGAAAGAAACTTGTTGGGAAGGAAGTCATTTTCACTGCAGAAAAACCACCCAACTCTGCAACTAGAGAGTATGGCTCTGTGTGGGCTGGCAAAGATCCTACTAAGGACGAAAACGTGACTGAGAGTCTATTGGCTGAGGGATTAGTGAAAGTAAGAGAAGGTGGAAGAAACATACCACAACTAAAAAGACTGGTAGAGATTGAAGATGTTGCTAAGTCACAGGGTAAAGGCATTTGGGGATCAGATCTTCAGGTAGGCACTTCAGGTTTATTATTTAACTGTATATAGATTTCTTATTTATCAGATAATAATTATATAATGTATGCAGGATCATGTCCGTGATATCAAATGGAGTGTTGAAAATCCAAAGCAGTTTGTGAACAAATTCAATGGGCAACCTGTGAAAGCTATCATTGAATATGTGCGTGATGGCTCTACAGTCAGATTATGTCTACTGCCTGACTTCTGTCAAGTCACTTTAATGTTATCAGGAATCAGGGTAAGAAAATTAAGTTCAGCTATCAAATTATTTATTGTGATCACAGCTGAATTAATATGGTTACATTTTTGAAAATTTACTTTCAGTGTCCTGCTGTAAAACAAGATGGTGAATCTGAGCCCTATGCAGAAGAAGCGAGGTTTTTCCTTGAATCAAAACTTCTTCAAAAGGATATTGAAGTAATCCTTGAATCAGTCAATAACAATAACTTTGTTGGAACTATACTTCACCCTCAAGGCAACATTGCAGAGGCCCTTCTCAGACAAGGTTTTGCGAGATGTGTTGACTGGTCTCTTGCTGTCATGAAATCAGGTATGTTATAATGATAAGTTATATAGTTATTATATTGAATGAATAATATATTTTTTAATTGTTATTAAAAGGAAAACAATAATCTTATATTTTAATGGGCAATGTAAAATCACCGAATGTTTATCTATCCTTCATTCAGGTGCGTCCACATTGAGAGCAGCAGAGCGAGCAGCTAAAGACTCAAAACTTCGCATCTGGACCAACTACACGAGTAATGCGCCAATGATTGCTGCCAAGGACAAAGAATTTACCGCTACTGTTTTAGAGGTCGTTAATGGCGATGCTTTAGTCGTGAAAATGCCCAACAGTACTCAGAAGAAAATATTCTTAGCAAGCATTCGCCCACCTCGTGAAAAGTAAGCTTTAAGAAAGATTGCATTAACCTTTGAATAGTAGATAGTAGAGGAACAGGCAAAGATTATTTTAAATACTTACCTCTCACCAGGACGGAATAATGATGTTGAGTTTACATTTAGTAGTGAAGTATAAGTACATATCTTTATAACCATGATTTTAATTATAGGAACAGCCCTGATGAAGAAGGCAAGCAATCTCCCAGACCAAAGGGATTCAAGCCTCTTTATGATATCCCTTGGATGTTTGAAGCTCGCGAGTTTCTCAGGAAAAAGCTTGTAGGAAAGAAGATCAATGTCACTGTTGATTATATCCAGCCAGCTAAGGACAACTTCCCTGAGAAAACTTGCTGCACTGTAGTCGCTGGTGGAGTGTGAGTAGACTATTTCAATACAGAACAATAGTTACTAGTTAAAATATCCCAAAAATCTAAATATAATATTATGCACATTATTTCTATTATAATCCATTCTATTAACATTCTATACCTCCAATCTTATCTGTATATTTTTAGAAATATTGCGGAAGCAGTTGTTGGGAAAGGATTTGCTACAGTTGTAAGGTACAGGAACGACAATGACCAGAGAAGTTCACACTATGACAAACTTCTAGAAGCAGAACTCAAAGCTCAAAAAGCCGGTATTGGTGTTCACGCCAAGAAAGATATTCCCGCACATCGTATTCAGGACACAAGTGGTGATTCAGCTAAGGCAAAGAAATTCTTCCCATTCCTGAAAAGAGCGCAAAAGACAGAGGCAACCGTAGAATTTGTAGCTAGCGGCTCACGTATGCGACTATATATTCCTAAGGAGTCTGTTCTTGTTACATTTTTACTAGCAGGCATTAACTGTCCAAGGGGTGCTCGCCCTGCTGTTGGTGGCGGTGGTGGAATGCAAGATGCTGAACCCTTTGGTGAAGAAGCCCTGCAATTTACGAAAGAAAGATGTCTACAACATGACGTTATTGTCACAATTGAAGAGATGGACAAAGCAGGCAACTTCATTGGTTGGCTCTGGATTGACAATGAGAACCTATCCGTATCACTGGTGGAACATGGTTTGGCTTCTATGCACCACACGGCGGAGACGTCGGAATTTGCACGCCCTATTAAGAATGCCGAAGAGAATGCTATCAAAAAACGTCTGGGCATCTGGAGAGACTATGTCGAAGTAGAGAAGGAGTCTGAAAAGGAAAGAAATGCACCTGTTCAGGACCGCGTTATCAAATACGATAAGGTAGTTATTACCGAAATTACACCTGAGGGCAACTTCTATGCTCAAAATGTTGACTTGGGCACAAAGCTAGAGAGCCTTATGGATAAAATTTACCAGGAGTTTAAAACCAACGCGCCACTACCGGGTTCTTATGCGCCCAGACGTGGAAATATTTGTGCAGCCCGCTTCACATTGGACGACCAGTGGTACAGAGCCAAAGTAGAAAAGGTGACTGATGACAAGAAAGCCCACATCTTGTACATTGATTATGGAAACCGTGAGGTAATTAACATTTTTATTTCGCTTTATGTCCTTGCTGACTTTAATAGGCCTCGGTGTCCAAGGTTTCGATACCTACTTAGAAATTGAATATAGTAAAATAAATTCAACTTTAATTGGTCTAATGGAGAAACAAAGACATTAATTAATTTATTTTTATTTTTCTGTTAAATCGTTTATCCCAATCTTTAAATATAAGCAGTTTTCAAAAAATTGGAAAATACCCTATTCACATCATATCACGTTATTTTTCGCGTCTATCTGTCAATCTCCAAAATAATTTGACAATTGAGCATGATAAAAACGAGCATTATATCATATCGCGGTACTCATTCTAGGGGGAGGTATGATTTGTCCTTACCTTCCTTTGTGTTTGTAGTCCAAGAAGCCTGCGTGTCAACGCTATTAGCCTAAAAAACAATTGCAATCAAACTATTCCTGAATACCGGCAGACCGAAGAAAACAAGTGACAATCAATACTGTTATCGCTTCCCCATTAGGTCGTAAGCACCACGAGGTTGGCTCCGCTGCCCGCCGGCACGGAGACGGAGCCGGCGTACGCGAACGAGTATTCGCTGGTGTGCGTCAAGTTCCCCGCGGACCCGGACGACCGGTCTGAGGCGGTGGCCGCCTTCTCCACGGACACCCTCAACAAGAAGCTGTTGCTCAACGTGGAGACGCGCGGCGCCCCGCCCGGCGTCACGCTCGTCGACCTCACCACCAATATCGATATCGGCAAGGTAATAATAGTCTTTGTCTTAGTAGTACGGCGAGCTGATTCCGCAACTCCACACCCAGTGCCTATTTTGCGTGGGGATTGGTATCAGTCCTGCCATCCCAGCTCCTCCAGAAAGCTCAGCAGTCCCCGGATGTTGCTGCAGGCTTCTACTAGTGTCCGCGGGTTTCCCATTAGAGAAGTCCTTTGTCTTGCAACGCCTCTGCACTCCAGCAGAACATGGGCGCTCGTCTCCTCCTCCTCCAGGCAGGCTCTGCACAGAGGGCTGTCAGAAATACCTATATTACAAAGGTGTTTGTTGAAGTAGCCGTGACCCGTGAGTATACCCATGATATCCACCACTGTAGGGGTGACCCCCTACATAATGATATTAGAATAAAGGAAGAAAGATAACTGATATTGTTGATTGCATGACGAGCATTGATTTATTATGCAAAGTTAAGTTTTTATATTTTATTTTATTTTATTTATTCGGTATACATAACATGTTACAATCAACAATGTACTAACTTATTAATAATTGAGGAATCGATCAAGATTGAAACACTTAACATGCATACACAAAAAATTTCGTTATTTAAAACAAAGGACAATATATCAATATTAACTGTTACATTGCATTAAATTAAATTCATTCAAATAAAAACAAATTGAATACTATAAATTAGATAAAATTACTTACAATTGATTTAAATATATTACATTTATGAAATTATATTACATTACAATAAAAACAAAACATTAGCAAATCAATTAAATAAGATTTTATCAAGTACATATTTAATTAAATAAATCAAGCTAAAAAAACTTATTATATTAAAGCGCTTAGCCTACTGTAATATTAAAAAAAATATGTATACTGGTGTCAAATGTAATAATTAAAAAATGAAATGGATGGGCCGAAATTAATTAAAAAAGAAGAATACTCGGGCGCCAGACCCATACCATATTATTAAACCATATTAGCCGGGAAAGCAATGGACTATTAATCACAAGAGAAGGCTTGAATGCAAAACCATATTCATTTTGGGTTGTCGATTTATTTAAATTTACTACAAAACTACTTAAGTCCAAAATGGTTACTGCTAAATTTAGAAACTACTTATTATACTATGGCTGCTAAGATGTAAATGAAAATTTTACCTTATGGGTTCCGGTACAACAATGAATTTGGAAAGTTACCGAACTTGTTGCATCTGTGTAGTGGCTGTGTCTGGTATTGTAATACTTAAGGGATGTCGCTGTTACATCACGGGACTGTTCACTTTCTCATCATGGGAAATGTTGAAAGTTGATTATAAAATCCAAATAAAAAAAAAAAACGCTTTTCGCTGAAAATAAATATTCCTCAGATTAGCACATGGCTCACAACAAAGGAAAAAAAGTAAAACTAAGGAAAACTCTAAGATTCTTACCGTTTTTAAACAAATTAAGCTTGGAATGCGATACCCGCCATTCCGAACAAAAGGTGCAAAATGTTACATCTGTAAAAGAAATGAATTCTAAGGTAAATCATTGAAATATGTGAATTAAAACACTTTTCGAATTTGGAAAAACACTTACCTTTAAAAAATAGTTGACAATCTAATGAATTATCATGTGAAAAATTACGATTATAATTTTTACATGTTTCTCGTAAAAATTTTGGTCGTGAAGTGAAGTGACAGTTCTTTTCTTAGTTTGTCTTGGCGGTAGGCAAAGAGAACAACGTCCATTCAGCCTACTGCTCGATAAAGGCAGAAACACACTTACCCAAAAGTGCACAGATTAAAGAAAATGGGCGCGAGATAAAAATGACCAGAGAGAGACAACCTAAAAAAAAATCTTCTATCTCGCTCTTCGAGCAAAGGAGATTCATGTAACGTTTTTAACACGTTACATTTCACCCTTCCCCGAATAAAGCATCGAGAATCGAGGCTGAAGAAACAACAGCTAAAGTTAAAATACTAAAAGCCAAAACGAAATCCGTTGAATTATGGATGAAAACGAAAACCCAAAGTGAAAAGAAAATAACTTCAAATAAAGTTATCCAAATACCAAAACATCATCCAACTATAGAGTCCTTGGACGAAAAGTCACAAGTCTCAAAACAAAAGCTGTAACTTAATTAGTTACAGACCCAAAATTATTAAAAACCTAAAGCAAAATGCTCTAAAATATAAGTATGCAAAGTATACTACAAAAAATTCAACCACTATCATCATCATTATTGAGATCTGTCAGACATAAAAGGTCGCAGACTCTAAAAAATCTCTAAATTCAAACTACTCTATCTAAACCCTGGTGAGATCTGTTGGACATCTAAGTCGCAGACTCTAAAAAATCTCTAAATTCAAACTACTCTAACTAAACCCTGGTGAGATCTGTTGGACATCTAAGTCGCAGACTCTAAAATTTCCTAAACTAAAACTCCTTCAAAACCTAAACTCCTGTGAGATCTGTTGGATATTAAAATCGCAGACTCCTAAAATTTCCTAAACTACTACTCTACTACTCTTAACATTAATTTCTTAAGGTCTGTTGGACAACTAGGTCACAGACAGAAAACTACAATCTACTCCTACTACCAACTCTTGGGAGATCTGTTAGACAACTATGTCGCAGACTCTAGAAAAATTCCACCCCAGTACTGCCATACTAAAAAGTCGCAAGTACTATTAGTTAAATCCCCAAAAAGTTCGAGATTAGTGGCAAAATTGACACTAACTCATTTAAGTCACAATCATGGTCGGCACAACACCACCGGCTTTCCGAACATGATGTGTAAAAGGCGTCGAGAACAAACAGTTCGACAAAAAAAAATGTAATGACGAAAGTCAAAACAGCAAAAAAATTTGGCGAAAACCAAAACGTGACATTCATGGCCGACTCAGCACCAACAGCTTTCCGGACATGAAACACCCAAAACAAAAGTTGTAACTACATAATCGGCACTACTCCACCGAACTCCCGAGCATGAAGCACAAAAACAAACAATTGATGTCCATAAATATGGGCAAACAAAATACCAAAACAATATGGCAAAACCAAAAAAGCGCCAACAATGTTGACCAAAAAATCGAAATTGCAACTTCACGATCGGCACAACACCACCGAACTTCCGAACATGATGTGCAAAAACAAAACAAATGATGTCCACAAATATGGGCAAACAAATTACCAAAACAAAGTGGTAAACCAAACAAATCGTCAAAAATATTGAACGAAAAAAGTCTAAATCATGGATGTCAAATCCAAGGAAAAATGTGAGCTCCAAAATGTCAAATCCGGGTGTAACAATTATCACACACACAAACTTCTACACAAAACAAATTGTTATAAAACAACAAACATGTAGAAACACCGCACAACTATAGTACTAACAAATAAGTTTGTACAAAAATAACAAATGAGGACATATAAAATCCTAATAAAAAAATGTGTCCATACAGATAAAACATCTGCATGAAACAAAAGGTTATAAAATCTTATGATGCAGAAAATAAGTAGGCATACTACGTAAATTTAAATTTTACAAAAAATTTCAAAGTCAAATAATATAATGGCAAAACTTGAATTTAATAAAAACCAAAAAGTCATTGAGTAAAGTCTAATGTATTTGAGTAATATCACATTCTTACATCATCTTACAAGAAGGAGGCCTTTCATACTTCACGCAGATAAATTAGCTTTCAAACCTTCATGATCACTCGAGTTACAAGAGCCTAAGACCCAAAGATTTGTTTATGTTTAACAAAACTAACCAAACAATAGCTAAGCAATCTAAATTTTCAAAATGTCTTTAACATGATAACGACCAGAAGTACCTTTAACCAAATCCTTCAAAACATAAACATTATTCGAGATTTTATCAATAATCTTACATTTAATAAACTTCGGAGCTACTTTTGCCGAAAAATAATGAGCAGCACTAGATTGAACAAAATTCCTCCTCCAAACAATATCACCTACGTCATAGGAAGTGACTTCACGACGCTTGTTATATTAAGAAGCATTACGTTTATATGCTTTAAATAAAGTTTTCAGTAACTTTAACAAAAATACTTTCAAGTGAAGAAAGTGAATGAGCAAAAGCAGAACGGTCAACAAGATCGATCTGTGTTAAATTATCGAAGGAATTACTAAAACGGTGCAATGACGCATCAATAATTAACTCCCTACCAAACATTAGGAAATTCGGAGTGAACTCCGTAGCCAAATTAACACTACTATTCAAAGCTAACTGAACATGTGGAAGAAATTTCGACCAAGTTCTATGATCATCACGAACGAAGCAAGAAATGCAAGTTTCAACCGTCTTATTATAACGCTCCACTGGATTATTCTGAGGCGTATATAAAGTATTATAGAATATTCTATCAATATTAAAACCTTTAAGAAAATCTACAAAATTTCTAGAAGTGAACTGAGTACCGTTATCACATACAACTATTTTTGGACATCCGAACTTAAGGAAGATATCTTTTTCTAAGAACTTACACATTGATCTAGTCGTTGCATTAGCCAAAGGAAATAACCAACAATATTTTGTAAAAACATCTACTACAGATAATATAAATTTATGACCAGAATAAGTTTTGGGTAAGATTCCAATTAAATCCATACTTAACATTACCATAGGTCTATCTACTTTTTTGGGATTAATCATAGTTCCAAGTGGTTTAGAAGTCGAATGCTTATAAGCTTTACAAATATCGCAATTATTAATATATTTATGAACATCATTAAACATACCTTTCCAAAAGTAATGTAGTTTTATTTTATGCAAAGTTTTATGAATTCCGAAATGACGTATTACGTTCACACTTATTAAGAGATCTAGAATAAAAAGCAATAGGATGTTGATCACCGTTATCATCTTCTTGACTCAGAACACTACCAATACCAACAGAACTAGCATCACAATGCAAAAAGAAAGGTTTTTTGAAATTTGGACATTCAAGCACAGGTGCGGTAATTAAAGAATTCTTAAGATTTTGAAAAGATCCTTCAGCATCATCATTC